CGCACCGGGGGCATGAGCCCCCGGGGCCCTCGTCCGGAGGCGGGTGCCGCGGCTGCTGCTGCAGAATAATAAATCTTATAAAAGCCCTATTAAGTCCTTCCCCCTTGCAAAGTTCAGAATGAATGTGAATGTCTCTGGTTGTATTCACCTAGCTTGCTGGTTTGGGTCTTGATCACAGTGGTATGAGGTCAAGAAATGTCCTCAGGAAAACTCCATCCTTGTTTACCACTCAACAGCCTCCAGCTTAACTACCCTAGCTCTTGTTTGTTCCTTTATGGGAGAGAGATTGGGTGGTCCTTGGAGATTTTCTTCTATTCCTGCCAAGCTCAGTCCTTAATGGTATCTAGCCTGCTATAGTACCAAGTGAAAACCTAAGTGCTTTTGTACTTCAAATAATAATGATAAGAATAGTAAAATGCATCTTGCTATTAAAAATTCATATTGTTGCATGTGATAGTGTTCATGTATTCAACAAGCTTTATCAATCTCTTTTGTGTGCCAAGTGTAAACTGGTAACATGAAGATAAGTAAAATGAAGTTGCTTTCTTGAAGAACTAATTTTTTCATGTGATGTTTCCCAATCTTGCCTAATCATAAGAATAACTTGTAGTACTTTTAGAACAATGCAACTATCTGGTACTTTTTTTCTGGAGATTGTGATTGGTAGGATCAAATCTGGAGTTTTTAAACAAATTTTAAACAGCATTTTTAAACAAATGCTGACTATGATTCTAATAATCAGGAAAATGCATTATCATTGTACTTTAAATCTCCCTTTGATTTTCTCTTTCGTTTTCTATTTGGACTAGCTATTGCAGTATTTTGGGCATTTCATGACTCTTCTAAAGTTGGACACTTTTAATTTCTCTAAAATGGACCAATTCTTTCTCCCATATATTTCTTTTTTCTTTTTTTTAAGAGGTTTTTGCTATAGGGCGCTTGTGCTTGCCAGACAGACAGAGAGAGACAGAGAGACAGAAAGCAAGAAATCACCCCCCAGGGTGGATGGCCATGCCGCAATCCCTTCTCCTTTCTCCTCTCGGGATCTTGGGCACGCACGCACGCACATGCGCCCAACGTGAGTTTTAAGCCACCGGATCCGGGACACAAACTGCGGTCGACTACGTGGGAGTCCAGCGACATAGCCATTATGCTAACTGCTGGTCCCTCTCCCATATATTTCTCACATTGGTCCGAAGTCAGTCCTGTAGAGTAAGAACTGTAACCCAAATTCTTTCAGGTTCAGGCTTGATATAAAGGAACTTTGAATTAGGTTTTTGGAAACATTTGTCTATTGACTTTAATTGCTCCAGTCTCTGATTTGCTTTGGAAAGGTACTAACTGGCTTAATTTCCTCCTGTATATAATATGCCTTTACATACTAGATGTATGCAACATATTTTGTTTCAGGCCCATCTCCTTCTCCCCTTCTGCCCTAGCTCAAAATACCATGTATTTTTGGACAAACTATATAACCTTAATGAAACTAAATTTTCTCATCTGTGATTTGGACATAATAGCAACTTACTGAATTTATTCTAATATTAAATTAATGAAAGATTTTAGCTATTCACATGAGAGGTAACTTTCTGGCTTTTTTTAAACTTGTATTTTAAAGGTACATATTTTAAGTATATTGCATGCATACAACTGTATCTGAATCTGTTTTCTTATTTCATATATAACTAAATTACTTTCCTTCATCTTTCACATCAAGAAGAAACTTGTTGAAATGACTTATTTTTAGACAAACTTTAAAAACTTTGTGTCTAATGATTTTCTCATCTTTTCCTTAAATGCTTTATTTACTGTTTGATTTATAAGATCAAAGCTGTATTCTTTGAAAAGTGTTGATTAACTTTGAGAATTATATTTTCACACTTAAAAGCATATTGTCACTTGGAATACTATTATAAAGGCAGTATTATTTCTATTTTCAGCATTGCAGGGGGTCGGATACTGTCAGTGATAAAGATGCAACTGATTAAAGGCCAGAACAACGGGGATCCTTTTTACAAAGCAGTAGAGGAAGTTGCTCAAGATTTGGATTTGAGGATTAAAAATCTTTTCAATTCTCAACAAGGAGAGGTGGCCGTTAACAACACTGACATCAGTCCTGCACGGGTAATGAGCTTTGTAGTTTTCATTATCCTTCTATACAAAATATTATCTCTTGTATTTATTGTAGAAATGATTCACTATTGCTATTAAGTCAGAAGAATGTATTTCCTGTGTTCTAAATGATGTTGAAAATTTTTCTCAATAGGATTATGTAGGATTATGTTCAACATAAATCAGAACATCTTTGGGCCAAATTGTCTGTATTTGTTAAGATAAGGCTTTGGATAATCTTTGCTATCTCCTTTAGCATTAAAAACTTATCATGCATGATGGATGTTAAGATGTTTTATATTTTTCAACATTTATTTTTATAGAACAACTGTTTTCTCATTTATTCAGATATAAAGTAAGAGGTTAGTTTCTCTGGTACTGACCCCAATACTATAGACATTTTACTATAGCAATAGTCCTATTAGAAGTTGTTTCCATTCAGCATTTTATTTTTCTTTTATAGATCTCTCTGATCTCTTACTTTCTACCTCTAACCCCAGCCTACTACAACTTAGTTTTCCTCATAGCTGACCAGCTTTTATATATATATTCTTAGAACACTTACCTCTTTATTGATTTTTTTACATAGATAAATATAACAGATTCTAAACCTGCTCTATTTTCTAAGACCGACTACCATGTTTTTAGCTCTAGAACTGAATTTTGGAGTATGTATTATTGTTGATTTATTGCAGTTTTTCTCAATTAACCAAAACCTGTTTTTATTTAGGTGTAGTTATTGTAGCGAGTTTAGAAAAAAGACTTTTGCTTAATTATTTTTATTTATTTATCTGTTTGTTCACAGCCCTCAGGGCCCATTTTAGCTGTTTTTCTACAGCAATACATGTTCTTGAGGTTTTCAAAAGCAGGGGGTGGAGGATATTACCAGATATTGCCCCATGTATTTCATGTGTGTTAACACTTCCTGTGATTAGCTTGGTTCAAATAAAAACCAGGTTATTACTCTGAGAATAATACAAGAATTGTCACAATTTCAGATCATTAGGAGTAACATTCTCTCCCACTTCCTGGCAGAAGAAATAAAGATAACAAACAATGTGGTTCTTAATTTTATATTTTCAACCAAATCAGAAATCCTTGACAACTATAATCAAATAATGGTTGAAAACAGTGGAAATGGTAATATTCTTATTTTGATGGTCATATATTGTGTGCGTACTAAAAAGAATATTGTAAGTCATAAAAATGTAGAACAATTAAAGGTAAATAAATTATAAAATAAAAAAAAAAAAAACATGGGCCGGCAGGTAGTGTGCTGGTTAAAATGCTGGATACCACATGGCTGACTACAGTTCAGGTCCTGGTGCAAATTCTCGAAAAACATGCAGGCATATGAGTGAATGCTCCGAATCTAGAGACTAGAATGGAGGAGAAGGTATTGTGGTGTGGCCATTTCCCTTTGGGAGTGATTTCTCATTTTTCCGTCTCTCTCTCTCTGTCTCTGTCTCTCTTCAATAAGAATTCTCACCCAATGGTAAAAACTTAAAAAAATGAAAAAGAAACCATAAAGCAAATAGAGAAAGGAAGAAAAATGCAATGAAATAATACTCAACTGAGTTAACATTAAGCAATATGGAATTCTCTGGTACTAATTAGAATACTTGTTAAGCACCAGACTGCTAAAAGTCCCTTGGAGCTATTTTGTTATAATTTACTTGACAGGCTGAGTCTGCTGAGTAGAGAAAGGAGGCCAAGACCATGATGATCAAAGTTGAAGAATCTGGCACTGCTATAACAGATGACCCAGAAAAGGCAGTTTTGACATTTAGGTATAATGTCCAACAATTCTATGGGTTAGGAACTTTTTAAAAAAAATTTATTTATTTACATTCATTCACTATATAGTAATACAGTATACAAAATGAGATTTCCCATCTAGAATACATTTTATATTGACTCAATCAAAGATATTACCGTACATATTACCGTTGACAATTTTCTATTTCTTGTTTCTTATATATTTTGCTCCCCACCTTGATCCTTGATTCCCTACCTCTCACCCTCTGCAATTTCCCCCCTCCTCCCAGACGATTTCTGTTATATACAGTTGTTTTCCATGCCTGTCTGTATTTTTTTTTCACATTTTACTGATTCACAAAAGATCTTAATTAATTTAAAAACTTTCAATGGCAAGCATAGCTGATGTATACATATCTGTGAGCACATGTCTGACTTTAGGCATAAACTTCAGTGAGTAAAATGAAGATACTATAAAGTAGCACCTAGGTGGGGCTATATAGCTTTCTGTAGCCATTAAATAGGTATTAATAGGGACCAGCTGTTGGTGTAATGACTATGTTGCTGGACTCCCATGTAGCAGACCACGGTTCAAGTCCCGGACCCAGTGGCTTAAAACTCACGCAGGCGCATGTATGTGCATGCACAAGATCCCAAGAGGAGAATGGAGGAGAAGGGATTGCAGCATGGCCATCTCCCCAGGGGGGTGATTTCTCACTTTCTGTCTCTCTGTCTTTCTGGCGAGTGCACACACCCTACTGCAAAAACCTCTAAAAAAATAGGTATTAGTAGGTATTTTTTAACATATTTTTTTTAATTTCAAGAAAAACAGTTTTAGTTTTAATAGATCAAAGTCAAAAAATGTTAAGAGAAATTTGCTTACAACTTAAAGCCAGGATAAAAGTTAGTATTCAGTTCAAATAGTAGGTAGATGAACCTATCAATGGTTTAAGAGAAGACAAAAATTCTTAAATATGGAAATCAAAGTATTGAAGAAAATCAGTAATGTTTTAATCTAAAGACAAATTCTATTTCACTAGTTCAGTCTTATGTAATTAATCTCTCTTCTATTGAATTTGTAGTGTTACTTACTATAGCCTGATCTTTCCATTTAAACTCGAAATTAACATTCAACTCCAGAATGGCTCTACCTTTAGGCTGGCCATTCTATTGGTTGTTTTTGTACTCATAGGTTAGGAATTCTTATTGCCCCTATTTTGCCAGTGAATTTAGCTTAAGCAACTTCCCCAGAATTATAAAGTACATATAATTATTTAACTGGTGTAAAAATCAGACAGAAATGCCTTCAGAGTTTGTGCTTACATGTATCTATGTACATTATATTGTATATATATATTTTTGTTCATGTATTCAGTCACTAAGTTTTTCCAACTTTCCTTTTTAAAATTTGCATTCTTTATCTTTCCTGCTGCTATCTTAGTTCAGATAGACCTTTTCATTTCTAAAACTGGTCTATGACAGTCTCTTAAATTTGTGGCCCTGTCTCCAGATACAGCATTCTTACCCTGGAATATATTTTACACATTGCTCTTGTTGATTTTTATAAAAGCTAAATAGAATTATTTAATTTCCTTGCTTAATAAAGCAAGAGATTTTACTTCTGTAAAAGACATGTCATTATTTGATATACAAAGCTTTGTCAGGGTCATCTCGCATAACCTCCTCTTTTTACCAAGTTCCACAGCCATTATATTCCACGGTAGCAGATGTGCCATGCTCTCTCTTATCTCCATATGTCTTCTCTGTGAGGCCATACGTATCTCCAGGCAACATTAATCACTCCCTTTTGTGTGCTCCCAACGCACCATGTATACAATTGCTAGCAGTAGCACTTAGCATTGTGGAATGTAATTATTCACTTATTCATGTATCCTATCAAGATTGTGGGTTCTTTGAAAGCAGTGGTTTTCACCTTTGTAGCTTTCCTTTCAAACATAGTACTTGGGAGATACTACTTACCAGTGGTTATTGAATGAATGAATGTTAACTGATTTTCACTTTTGCATTTGATCAAGTCTTTACCACTACCTTTGGGTTGGTATTCAGCTTGCCAGAACCCTTTTTTTGGTATAAAAAAGAAAAAGTATATAGAGTATTAAACTTACGGATCTGAGATAACATGGCTAAATTTTCCTGACTAATGTTATTTTGATCAGAATCCAGTATTTTCCTTTAAAGATACTATTTCTGTGCATCTGGAAATTAATAACATTGATTATAGAATGGCTAAAGGGAGGAATGTTCACATGTTGTGCAGCCACTTCTCATAGCTGATCTTTTGTTACTTCCACAATAGAGGAAGGGGCTGCAGGTAGCATGGTGGTGCATCGTGGCAACATCCCACCTGGCTGACTGGACCTGGCGGCTTGAAAAATCATGCTGGGCATGTGTGCATGTGTGCTGAAAGTTCCAAGAGGAGCATGGTGGAAAGGGGTGCAATGTGGCCATCCTCCCTGGGGGCGAATACTCACACACACACACCCCACGTCCCCACCCCCCCACTCTGTCTTGATCGCATGGTGGTGCATCGTGGCAACATCCCACCTGGCTGACTGGACCTGGCGGCTTGAAAAATCATGCTGGGCATGTGTGCATGTGTGCTGAAAGTTCCAAGAGGAGCATGGTGGAAAGGGGTGCAATGTGGCCATCCTCCCTGGGGGCGAATACTCACACACACACACCCCACGTCCCCACCCCCCCACTCTGTCTTGATCTCTCTCCTGCAAGTGCACACACCCTATAGCAAAACTTTAAGGACAAACAGAAAATAGAGGAAGGAAAACAGTGGCAGGTAAAATGGAAAAATGTAGCTGATTTACCCAGCTGGGGTGGTTATTACATTTACTTAAAAATATTTTTCGTTCTAGCCAAAATCTTATTGCATAAATCATGGTACTGCATACTGTGGCAGAGATACTGTGAAAATTCTGCTTTATCTGTTGGATGAAGAAGCAGCCAGTGTTCCTACCAAAAACAAAGCAGAGCTTTTATATGATGATGAAAACACAATTTATAATGGCACTTCTATTCTTACTCTTTTTAGGTAAGTAATGTGGAAGTTATATGTGTATAAATATTAACTTTAAAGAATTTTTGAATAAAACCTCATTGATTATAGAATAAATATGTGCTTATGGTAGGAAACTTAGGAACTACAGAGAAATATGAAGAAGTAAAAGTTAAGTAAGTTAAAGTGATGTTGAATATCTAAATGTGAAGTAAAATTATATATATAAAATTTTGCTTTGAAAATTCTTTGTTTACTTTGCCATGTTTAAGATCTTTGTTAAATGTTTTCACCAAACTAATCTCAGTTCTTACACCAACTTTTTTTAATAGTATCTCTACTTTATAAGTGAAGAAAAAGAGACTTGAGAGAGATATTAAGTAATTTGCCCAAGAGAACTAAGTTAGCAAGTGGCAAAGGTGGTATCTTTCTCTGAAGCCTGAAGACTACTGTCCTACCTAGGAATAGGAGAGAACATATGTACCAAACTTATATTGGAATTGACTTTTACTTGTTCTTCCTTTATGAAACAAATATTTTGTAAAGTAGTGCTGGTACTATATGTAAGACATTGATACTGTCTTAAGCTGCTTGGGTTGTCATAATAAATATTATAGAATTGAATGTCTTACTAATAGAAACTTATTTTTTGTTTGAACTGGAAGATCAAATCAGGGTGCTGCACAGTCAGGTTCTGGTGAGGGATACCTCCTTCAGCACATGACTTCCTTCTGGCTGTGTGCTCACCACGGAGAGAGAGATTGCACTCTCTCTTTCACTTCTTATAAGGCTTTAATTTTTTTTTTTAATAGAGATTTTTGCTATTCATTGCTTGCGATTGCTGGAGAGGCAGAGAAATAGAGACAGAAAGTGAGAAATCACCCCCCCCCCCAGGGGAGATGGCCATGTTGCAATCCCTTCTCCTCCATTCTCCTCTCAGGATTTTGGGCATGCACACACATACACACACAGCCATTATGAGTTCGAAGTCATCGGGTCTGGTACTCGAACTGCAGTCGGCCATGTAGGAGTCCCGTGATGTAAACTTTATTCCATCTGCTGGTCCCAAGGCCACCATTCTTATCAGATTAGAACCCTATCCTTCTGAGTAATTTAACATTAATTGCCTTCTAAGAGCCTTAACTCCAAATATGATCACATTTCCGGATAAGGCTTCAACATGCATATTTTGGAGAAATAACAATTCAGTAGCAAATACTCTCCCATTTCAGTAGCAAATATTCTCCTATTTTAATAACAATTAGGATCAGTCATTGAGTAGGTTGGTAATATTTTGAATTGGGTGAACATTCCATTTTAGAAACATTAAAAATATGAGAACAAACATTTTAAGTTATATTTAGTACATTGTAGAGAATTTTCACAAAATTATCCTACTGTTTGATCTTTTCTGTTTTATTTTGGAGCTACTTTTTTTTTTTTTTTTTTTTTAAGTTTTTGGCCATAGGACATATGTGCACTTGCTGGAAATAAAAAGAGAAAGTGAGAAATAACAGCCACCCCCACCCCTCCACCAGAGATGACCATGCCACAATGCCTTCTCCATTCTCTTCTTGAGATTTTGGGTGCCCACTGTGCTTACTGTGATTTTTAAGCCATCAGGTCCAGGACTTGAACCACACAATTGGCCACATGGCAGTCCAGGACCTTAACCACTATAACACCTACTGGTGCAGTTTGGAGCTACTTTTTAGAAATCTGATTTTAGTCTAAACTTGTTTATATCCACTCATGATTGCCTCATGTACTCTCATGAGAAAGGATTTTTCAATATCCTTTCTCTTCTTTCTAAAGAGAAAGTTTACAGTAGTCTTTTATTCAATGTTGTTATCTAATTCCTTAAATCTAATCGTTTTTATGACCTTTTGATGATGATTATTTTATATCTGGGCATGATATAATTCTTCCATCACATTCTATCTCAAAATGTCCAAATATTTTCCTAACAATGAAAATTTCTCTTATATGTGATTTATTTATACCATGTGTTGGAATCAGTGAAAACATTATAAAGAAAATGAACTATTCCTTTTTTCCCTTTTACCTTATTTCTATTTAACAGAGTTTGCTTTTAGGTAGGAATATAAATGATACCAATTTTCTCTCAGATGAATTGTATAATTTTTTTAGAGCAAGTTATTTTCTGTTTATAAACTGTTTTAAACAGAATTAATCCCTGAGTTCATTTTTCAAAAAGTTTTTTTCTGTGCTTAATCATGTGGCTAAATACAGTTCAATTGTTTACCCTTTGGATTCTACACTAGAATTTGTAACTGTCATTGTGTAGACATGTGCCAGTCTACAATAAAGTAAATTTTTAATGGTCTGCATCCAAATGATAAATAAAATTGAGGGCAGTGTGATATATGGATTTAAGTCAATATAAAGTTGTCAAATATTCTTTCTTATGGAAGACTATTTTTTAGTTTTATACAATGACCTTTGAATCAAAGCTTTCCTGACTCTGGCTCTATGAAGCCAAAAAATAATTTATTCAAGAATACAGACTGATCTGGCTCTAAAATTCCAAGGTCTCGTCCATTGTGATTTCTCTGGTCTTTCTATATCTATGTTCATCTTTTTAAATTTCTCTATTTTAATTTTAGCTAAGTGGGCATCTTAATTATTTTACTTAGACTTCAGGATGCTTGAATACTGGGCCAATGAATGAATCATGTTTCCTCATAATACACAGTGCCTTATAAATAATAGAAATTTAAGAAACATTTAGTTACTGAATTAATTAAGCAAATTATTAATATTTAGGGCTCTAAGAGTAGGAATATTAATCTTTTATAAAGCATTACCTACAAGTAGGTTCAGTTGCCCTTTATCCTATGACTGCTCTCAAGACCTACTCACCTCCTAAAGGCTCCACTTAGTACTATTGCATTGGGGATTAAGTTTTAACATGAATTTTGGAAAGACACAAACATTCAAATCATAGCAATAATTTCATCTTTTTTTTGAACATAGATCTCCCACACAAGTGAATAATTCATTGATGAAGCCCCTAAGACAACGCATCCATAACTCAAAGCAAGAGAAAAAAATTAAGGTACAATTTAATGTACTTCTATGAATATGATAAACATTTGTTTTGTTTCTAGGTGAAATAAATACATGAAGAGGAGCTGGATATTTTCGATATACTTTGTACATGGTATACTAGGAATTAAGTGGAAAAATGAGTTATGACATTTGATATACAGGAATTTTCCTTTTATATAATCTTGACTAATCGGTTTCTAACTTATTTAATTCACTAGATCTAAAAGAAGGAAAGGAATAAGCAGTTGTTATTGTAAGTGTTGACTAAATACCTGTTGAATGAATTAAGGGAAAACTAAAGATACGGTTTTCTTCTTTACATTTCTAATGTTTTAAACTGAATCTTGAAAGACTGTAATTTAAAATTTGTGCTTTTTGAAGATACTGGCAGAATATAATTGTTTATAGATTGAGATGAAGAGAACATTTTTTTTGTTATTGATTAGAGCTATTCTTTAAATTTTTATTTGATTTCAATTAAGTTTTTCTCTCCTCATATGAATCATGTTTTTACAAGTAGTTGATAATGTTTCAAGCATTTACAACATTCTTGGTCATATTTTTCCAAAAGAAATTTAGTTTTAACTTACTGATTCATCATGATATTATTGAGTATCTACTATGTACTTGATAGTGAATGGTTAGGAATTCATTCATTTGTTTAACAAAATTTTATTTTAAAAAATTGCAATTACTTTTAAATTATCAAATATTTATCAACAAAAATATAACTGTTACTTGTATTCCTTTTACTATCTTTTTTTGGAAATACAGACCCAATTAGCAAGCTTTTAGTTAACACCTGTTTCACCTGTACAACCTAGCCCATTTAGTTTATTAATAACTCATTTTTGCATTTGTTATTAACATTTGTTAGTAATTATGATTGTGGAATATATCATTGAGTTTTATGTAGTTTTTCTGTGAATAAAATGTCAACTTTTGTTTCATTAATATAAATACTAGTGGTCAAGTGATAAAATTTTTTTAAAAATCTATCTTTTGGATTTGGATAGAAACAAAAATGTAACATATAAACTCTTTAATTTTTTTCCCATATAATGATTACTGACAAACTTTAATATTTTGATGTTAAGATAGTAGAGATATTCTCTTAGAACAGAGTAAATCATAATTAAAAAACCTATCTGAAGAAAAGAGAAGGCTATTTTTTTTTTTTTTTTAAGAAATTGCTAAGGGTTAAGGCCAGCAGATGGCATAGTGGTTATGTTACTGGACTCCCACGTAGTTGATCACGGTTTGAGTCCTGGACCTGGTGGCTTGAAACTCATGCCGGATATGTGCGCATGCATGCCTGCCTGAAATATCAAGAAGAGAATGGAAAGAAGGGATAGTGGTGTGGCCATCCCCCCCTACTACCACTGGGGAGGGTGACTTCTCACTTTCTGTCTCTGTCTCTCCAGTGAGTGTGTGCACCCTGTAACAAGAATCTCTCTCTCTAAAAACAAAGAAATTGTTACAGTTCAACTAATAAGAGATACAGACAAATTCAGTAAGTTTTTAGAAATAGAAGAGAGATTATCTAATCCAGTCTTGTTTTCAGATGTGGAAACCAAAATTCTAAGAAAGTATGTTATCCAAAATCTAATAACTACTATGAAATACTTTATGTGTTTGCCAAAATATGGTTAAATTCTAATGAGATTATAATTACATTGCTTCCATCACTTAACAGTGGAGCTGACTTAGTCGGTACAACTCTGGAACTAAATAGCAATAAAGACAGGAAAGAATTGGTATTTATGATTATGTTTTGCAGTTCTATGTATAAAAGCAAAGTATGAAAATAATTAGTTCAGTCAGGTATAAAACTGAGCCGTAGCCAGGTGGAGTACTTGCTAGAATAATAAGAAATGTTAATATTTACTACCAAAGTAACTGGAAAAATGTTTTAGTAGCTTAGTACTTTATTACCCCGCTAACTTTTACTCTTTTAGCATAAATTTTTTTTTCTTTGTAGCCATGGAAAGAATATATGATTTACACTTGACATCCTGTCTTTACAAAAGCATTTTATAGGTAGAAAATACTAAGGAACTTAGAATTCTGATGCATTTGGTTGTGAAATATCCTCTTATTATTATGTGGAGCAAATGAACTCTTCATAGATTTTAGTTTTCTCATTCATAAATAGAAAAAGATGCTCATAAAATTCTAATAAGCCACTTTAGAAACTGCTCATTAACATACTCATTTTAAGTCCTCCACTTTTATTTCCTGCTGTAGTGTATTAGAAAACTTGCTTATGATAGTCAAATGAATTTCCCTGTGAAGGAAGTTAGAAGTTTTGTTATAAAATGTAACAGTTTTGATAGGCACCTTTATATAACATTTTCTCACTATTTCTTTACTCAATTTCCAAGCACTTTAAAAAAGTTATTATAAATACTCTTATACCCTGTTATGAGAAGGTTTTTCAAGGAAATATTTACTTCCTTAAATCACTGTATTAATTAATTTTATTCCTTCTAGCCTCCGTTAGCAGTATTCTGTACATCAGGCACAACTAAAAATCATATATATGGTCTTTTCCTTATTCTTAGTATAATTTTTTTTACTATATTATGTTTTTTTTAGAATACTCATTTATTTACTTAATTACTTAAGTGAGCTGATCTGGAAAATACTGTATCTTTAAAACACAAAATTATTGAGACAGTGAAAATCAGAAATTAGGTCATGTGAGGAACTGTGCTGGGTTTAAAACTGATAATTTCATAAGCAGCCAAGTAGTCCAGGGTTAATGATGTTAGAAAATTCTTCGTTAAATCTCTAAATTTAATGACTAGAGTGTCCTAAAAGGAGTACATCCAAATTAAAATGATGGATTGAGTTTAACTTACAGAATTTTCTCTCCTCTGCTGTTTAAAATGAGTAAACAATAATGATAACTAATAAAACTGATCACTATGGGGAAACTACAAAGAATAATGGAATTAGATGTAATGAATTCATCTAATTTTTTTCCCTAATTTATCTTTCTTATTTTGTTATCATAGTAGAAACTGAATGAATGAAATGATAGCCAAGGAAAGAAATAGATTTCAGAGTGAATAGGCCTAGTATGATTTAGCAACTTAATCTAGTATAGTCAGCAGATACAAGACTATGAGTTAGCAAAATTCTGAGAATTATCACTAATATTTCTCACATTGAGAAACCAACAGAGAATATGTTCTTCTGTGTTTTTCTTCACTTATCACAAAAATGGTAGAGATGATAAATAGTAATGTGGACAGGGTGTACAAAACGAACCCTGGGCTTTCACAGGCAGAGAAGAGTAGTGTAGCTCTAATGCTACATTCTAAATTAGGAAAATTATTCAAATAGTTCTCTCTCATTTGAATAAAATACAGTTCTCAACTAGATGGAGTGAACCTTCTTATAGTACATATAATACAAAATAAACTATTAGATAAAAGTGCAGAGCCCAGAAATTTTTTCAGACCACTTACCTCCTCAGATTCTGCTTCTACCTTCACTATTCCTCATGCTACAGAAAAATGAGGGAAAACAAAATATGTAGCTTACAAAATGAATTGCCCCCAAATAAGGAATGAGCAGTGCTTGCTCCATGACATAATGACCATAGTTTGAATTCTCAGCCCAATCTACTTGAAACACAAATGATACATGCTTGAGTGTCCATGTTCTATGGGCTGGGGGACTGGAAGGGGATTGTAGGATGACCAGAACCTTTGGAAAGTGCTCATTTCTTTCTCTATTTCTCTCTCTCAGTCTTCGTGTGTGCACACAAGCTTTATCATGAATAAAGAAAAAGTAAACTAAAAAAAATAAGAATGGGACATCATCAAGTGGTCATAGACTTGGAGACTTCCCTTTCTAACTAAAATATAGTAGGTCATAGCAGAACACAGTTTCTACTATGATAACAAAATAAGAAAGATAAATTAGGGAAAAAAATTAAAAAGACGTAGGAGAGCTATGTAAGCAAAGAAGTTTACATAAACTAAAAATCTGGAGAGCAGAGATGTTCTGATGTGAGCAGTCTATTTTTATGTTTTTTTTTTCCCTGCCATTATTGCTGATTTGAGGTATGAATTAAGGATTGCTGTTGGTCCTGGTAAAGAAACTTCATTGAGGGGGACCAGCAGTTAGCGTAATGGCTATGTCTCTGGAGTCCCATGTAGTCGACCACGGTACGCATCTTGGACCTGGTGGCTTAAAATTCACGCCGGGCGGGTGTGCGTGCGTGCCAAAGATAGTTAGAAGACATGGCTCTGCATGAGTGGAACCTGCCAAAAACAGATGGCTGGTCTCCTTTTTTACAAGCTATTTGCCGTATTTGGAAATGACATGGAATGGGAGACCAAAGAGTACAACATGAAAACCCCCGAAAGAGGGACCAGCAGTTGGCATAATAGCTATGTCGCTGGACTCCCATGTGGTGGACCGCGGTTGGAGTTCTGGACCCAGTGGCTTAAACTCACGCCGGGCGTGTATGCGTGTGTGCCCAAGATCCCGAGAGGAGAATGGAAGAGAAGGGATTGCAGCGTGGCCATCCCTCCTGGGGGGTGATTTCTTGCTTTCTGTTTCTCTGTCTCTCTCTGTCTTTCTGGCGAGTGCACGTGCCCTACAGCAAAAACCTTTCCAAAACAAAAGAAAAAAGAAAACCCCCGAAAGAATAAATATCCAGACTATTATATAATCTCAGACTATTAGGCCAAAGGTGATAAAGATTCTCCCAAGGCTCTCAGTTGGAAGCCTGAGAGAACCTACTTGAGGAAGAAGTAAGAATCAGAAGTCAAATGCAAGTTATGGAAACTGAAACCCAGCTCTGTCCCTGACAGTACTTCACACAGTACAGTACTTCACTGTATCTGCCTATCAGAGTTTGGGAGACTCCTTCTTGATGGAAGAGAGCATCTGGGAGCCTCTTCAGTTCCTTTATATGTAATATCTAGTATGAAATAAAATATACTGGGCACGAGAAAAGATAGGAAATTTTACCCTTTAATAAAGAGA